GTTACAAGGAATCGTCTCGCAGAAATTTTCGTAAGACGGGCCTGTCGGAGACATTGATTGGCGAGGCGCGCGGTCGGTCCGAGCATCGGTCGCTTCAGCGTCGACTGAATGTTTTTAGGATGGTAGATAGGAGCTCTCATGCATATTCAACGGCACTCTCAACTCCTCCGTCACAGGAGGGAAAGAACCACCCCGCGCGCCCGGCACACCCCTTCGACTCCCTATACCTCGATAGAGAGAAAGGAGATGGGATAGAGATGGAGCGACGACTGTTCGGATGTATAAACGAGTGAGTGAGAGAGAGAGAGAGGAAGAAAGAGAGAGACAGTGACACGGAAAAAGCGAGAGAGAAAGGGAGCGAGAGAGACAGGGAACTGACAGGGAGAGGAAAGGAGTTTGTAGGGGTGCTCACGATTTCCTTCATATTCTACGTCGGCTTTCGTCGGCGGTCGAAGATAACCAAGCAGCGGCGACGTCTACCAACGATCCCGGATGACGATCGCGCGCGCACGAGATTATCCCAACTTCCTAGAAATACCAGGGAATGACAAGTGAATCGTACTGTACTATTCCGGACGACTTCCGTCGTCGTTGTCCTTCTACCCTTCAACCGTTGCTTACGCTTTTCATCGTCGTTATTAAGTTTGCGCGAATTCAGGTCAGCTTCGACAAAGGCCAGGAAACTGCCATCTCCTCCGTGACAGTTTATTCGAAATATCGAGGATTTTTCGTCGAATCGCGGCAATTCTTTGCGAAGAATCGCGCAGGCTCTTAATGCGTCCAGTACCGAAATAAAACGCGAGATTTATATCGACGAGGTCGCCGCAACCGAACCTCGTGAATTTCGGTGAGGCATGTGAAGCGCCCGTACGTTACCGTTGTCGAGGAAGACGTCCAGATCGCAGAACTAGGGTGACCTCGTATATCCGCGGGGCGGCTCGTGGCGGATCGCGTGGTTGCGATAGCGCGCCTTGACCTCGCATTGAGTCCGATTCTCCGATAAGATACAACGGCGAGCGGACGAAGCTGTGGTGTTAAAGCCCAGTGTTCTTTGTGTGTCACCGACACAAAGATTTGATGCCCGAACTCGCGATTGTCACGCAATTTCAACTGACGATAGAGACCTTAAACCCTGCGTCCGGTTTCGAGTAAAAAACGTATGAGTCGGGAAATATAAAAATTAACAACAATTTGCATTTGTATGCATTGTATTGCATGCTTTTTATCGATTAATATAAATATAAAGTTATTTTAATATTACTTTTGTAGATTCAATAATTAGATGCAAATTAGATTCGTAATAATTTTCGATTATTATATATAAAAATTGTTTATAAATAGAATAAAATAATTTGGCGTATAATATCTAGTTTGGTTCAAATGATTTAGATTTATTCTCACGGAGAGACGTTTAGAATGAAAAGTCGGGGTTATCTGCGAAACGTCTGGCTAGGTGAGGCCGAGACTACTTCCGGATAATCCGATAGTTTTTCACTTGCGGGAAGATTTAACGCTTCGCGTGAAAGCCATCAAAAGCCAGATGTATATAAATACGGCTATATATATTATAAATACGACTAGGCAAGAGAGAAAAAGAGATGATCCATCGATGACATCAGCCGTTTTAAAAAACCACGAAAAAGGTTTGACGCGCGTTATGGGAAGCAGCTTACGGGGAAGGAAGTGTTCGGTTACGATGGCGATAAATTTCGAACGGAGGATTTCGCGGTTGAGAACTGCGGAAGCGTCGGCTATACAGTCGTCGGAGGCTGAGTCCGTGGCTTCTCCGGGGATTGATATCCCTCGTCTTCCCCTTTGATATCACCCTCGCGAGCTGGCGTAGTTTCCCCGCGCAACCCCCGCCACCACCCTTGTTCATTCCGGTCGACACCCCCTTTGTGCGGGAAAGACAGATCGAACTACCCTGTTTACACTGCGACGCGATGATTTGCCAAATTAATTAGTCTTCCCTTGTCGCTTTCTCTCTTTCTCCTTTCGCCAATCCTTTGCATTTTCCTATGGACCAGGGAGGCTGCGCGTCTTCGCCTGTGCGTTGAATGGCCTCGGCGTGTAAAAACCGCGAATAATCCTCGCCGCATGGAACCCGGCTTTCATTAACGGCGAGAAGGATGGGCTGCACGGTAATTTCTAACGAGGCTGCGAGCGGGTTCTCGCCGCGAGCCGCGTTGCAAAAACCTTTCTTCGGCGTCTCGGTCGTAGTGGTGGTAAGCGTGACACCGAAACGGGATCGTTACCGCAAAAATGAAGTGACCCAATAAAAGAAGCGGAAACGCGCGAGACGAAGAGAATTTGCATTATGGATAGTCGCGAAGTTTCTTTCTAACTCGTCCGTTTCTCGTCATGTTTAAAAATATCCGGTGCGTCATTAATTCTATGATGTACAATAAAGTACTTTTTTCATAGAATTTTTTTTCTTTAAATCTGAATTTTCCGAGGTGATAGTATGATATTTCGAATACGAGTTATCTGCCTATGTCGTCGCGCGATTATAATTCCATAGCCTCCAAGCATTCATATATAACGCTGCATTAACGGAGGATCGCTAGTCAATAAAAAATTGCCCGATGCAAGATGAAACTTTGCAAAAGACGTCGTTGCGAACCGCGAGATGTTTAACGAAGGGCCGCATCGCGGATGATGCGGACGATAAGCATTTTCGAGATCCCCTTTGTTGAGAGGCTGGCGCGAAACGTGATGGAGGATAGAAGGCGCTCGTAAAACTTCGAAGAGTTTCTTTTTCGCTCCGGGCGTCGAGAGTAGGGGCGGTGCCAGCGAAATGAAATTAAACGGGTCCCTTTTTCGTCGTTGGAGCATCTCGTTCGCGGTAAAAACGAGTGTGGACATCCGGCACTAACCCCATAGCGACAGTGATAATGCTGGTGGTGGCGATGGCGGTGGTAGTGTCGGCTGATATTGCTGGACGAATAGCAGCCAAAATTCCTCGTTAAAGCGTGACGTAGTTTCTTGACGTAGTTTCAGTACAATGCTTTATCCGTTGCATATCTTGTCTTAATATCATCGTCTTTAATATCATCTTTATTTTTATATTCGTTATTTTTATATTTTTATTATCGATATTTACTTTTTTATTTTACGATAAATGGCATTCTCGAGGTGATTGCTACTTCGCGGCGCACAACATAACCGTACGGACAGCCATTCTTTTTTTCTTGACATCTTCGCGTTCTCTCATTAACATATTTTACGGTCGCGAAATACAACCGCGTTGCCGGCGATATTTCACCAAGCGGCATACCGCATACCAACAATGTTTATCCGGGAGAACCGAACGAAACAAAGATTCCTCTCAGTATCTAGGATTTCGCTCGGGGGTCATTATTTATCGTCAGCCCGAGGAGGGACAACTGCGACGGCGATCAAGATACGGTAAATGCACGTAGACAAACCGAGAATGGAATATACGCGAGGAATCGAGGAGGGAAGAGGACGGCGCGAGTAATCAGACGGATAGATCGTCTTGTTTTCGCGTTCCCGAAACGAAACCTATCCTCCTCCTCCTCGTTTTCACGTCGCCTTCTTCTTCTTCCTCTTCTTGGTCTTTAAGCGAACGACAATCGATACCTGGCGAGGCCAGGCGGTAGTGAGGCAGGCGAGAAAGAGAGCCGCGCGCGCGGCAACGGGGGCGAGAAAGCGAGAGGGTGGAAAGACGGAGGGAGGGGTGGCAGGGTGGCGCCTCATATTTTGCTCATTAGCGTCAGCATCGTCGTCAGCGTCGGGACGCCCTCACTTCGCGCGCGCGGCACAACTAAGGGTGGAGAGGGACCATCCATCATCTTGTCCTCCGTTTCGCTCACGTTCCACTCCCCTACTCTTCCCTCCTCATACTCTTCGCTCCTCGGTCGTTTCCGATCTCTCGCAGCCGACTCTCGCGTTTGTCCTATCGACGATCCTTGAAAACGCTCGCGACGATGAACGGCGCCGCTCTTGTTGAAACGAATAGAAAAATATATCGCTTCGACCAGAGTAAATCGTTGTAAATTATTTTCACAATTCCGACAATAAAGATAGGAAATTATGTAATATTTTAATTATTAATAATAGTTATTGTGGAAATTTGAAGTAACTTGGAGAAATTATGAAAATTTGCTGAGTAAACCATTTACCAGAACGGATATTTCGCAAAAGTGGAGCAACGGCGTTCTTTTGCTTTCTAAAGGGAATCGTTACATCCGCGCGTTTTCGGTTCGCTATGAGACGGATCGTTGCTTATGTTTGCGAGGTGATTATGGAAATGTTCGCGCGCGTTTCGCGAATCGGCGCGAAACAACCGATTCGAAACGCGATTCCCTCGATCGATCGGCGATACCGCCTGCTGCGAAATCGCCGCGTATAATGCTCGTATATATCGATGGCTTGGCGGTGCTATGCGGTGGTTTCTTCTCACGAGTCACACGGCGCGAACGATGGGCGACGCGCGGTTGCGGTTACCAGCAGCTACCTACTTTCGCATGAAATCCGTTTTTAGCGACAGATCGTAAAGCGATTTATGTGTACGACCGGCTGTAACGCCGATAGTAAACGGTAAACGCACGCGGCAGCTCGGCTGAATCCCCGGCCCAAACCCGCCGCCGCGGTTAGTTGCCGCGTAAAGGACTGTATATACGCGCTCTCGCGTAGTTAAGTAGCGCGCGCGTGCACGCGTGCACGCGGCCGAGATCGCGCGCGCTCGCGTTCTTCGGGATCGAAAGCCATATATTTCAGACACTGCGTCTTCCGTGTCTGATTCGAAAGATAATCGAGTCACGCTTAACACGCTTCACTTTACACGCCGGCATTTATGCGCGCGGTTACAACATAATTATGGCCGATGATCGTCCGCGATAAAACTGATCTGCAGCGCCAACGAATCTCAATGTCAGATTTATTCTGGCGAAAGGGGTACATAATTATTTAGCAAATTGTTCACTTAACATCGATAGATAATTTATAGCCGATATCCGGATTTGTCATATACATACCTGCAGGAGAAGAAAACACGGTGAAGTCGGGTACGCTTCACATATTTTTCCTGAAACAAAAGAAAAATTAATTTAATGATGGTTCTAAAAAAGAAGAAGAAATTAATAAAATATTTTGTAACATTAACACCTTGTCCAAATCTAGTTTCTCAATGTTAAATATTCAGTCCAGAACCACCGATACATCAGTAAAAATGGCGATCTAAATTCAGTGAAATAAACATTCCCCGAGGTACAGTGAACCTCGCGGTTTCTCTTCCACGGAATAAAAATGTCAGCGCACGTCTGCGGGCAATGGTAACGTTAGGTCGAGGAAGAAACGCGGAGGAATATCTCCTCACTCCCATGCTCATGGTTACAAGGAATCGTCTCGCAGAAATTTTCGTAAGACGGGCCTGTCGGAGACATTGATTGGCGAGCGACGAGGCGCGCGGTCGGTCCGAGCATCGGTCGCTTCAGCGTCGACTGAATGTTTTTAGGATGGTAGATAGGAGCTCTCATGCATATTCAACGGCACTCTCAACTCCTCCGTCACAGGAGGGAAAGAACCACCCCGCGCGCCCGGCACACCCCTTCGACTCCCTATACCTCGATAGAGAGAAAGGAGATGGGATAGAGATGGAGCGACGACTGTTCGGATGTATAAACGAGTGAGTGAGAGAGAGAGAGAGGAAGAAAGAGAGAGACAGTGACACGGAAAAAGCGAGAGAGAAAGGGAGCGAGAGAGACAGGGAACTGACAGGGAGAGGAAAGGAGTTTGTAGGGGTGCTCACGATTTCCTTCATATTCTACGTCGGCTTTCGTCGGCGGTCGAAGATAACCAAGCAGCGGCGACGTCTACCAACGATCCCGGATGACGATCGCGCGCGCACGAGATTATCCCAACTTCCTAGAAATACCAGGGAATGACAAGTGAATCGTACTGTACTATTCCGGACGACTTCCGTCGTCGTTGTCCTTCTACCCTTCAACCGTTGCTTACGCTTTTCATCGTCGTTATTAAGTTTGCGCGAATTCAGGTCAGCTTCGACAAAGGCCAGGAAACTGCCATCTCCTCCGTGACAGTTTATTCGAAATATCGAGGATTTTTCGTCGAATCGCGGCAATTCTTTGCGAAGAATCGCGCAGGCTCTTAATGCGTCCAGTACCGAAATAAAACGCGAGATTTATATCGACGAGGTCGCCGCAACCGAACCTCGTGAATTTCGGTGAGGCATGTGAAGCGCCCGTACGTTACCGTTGTCGAGGAAGACGTCCAGATCGCAGAACTAGGGTGACCTCGTATATCCGCGGGGCGGCTCGTGGCGGATCGCGTGGTTGCGATAGCGCGCCTTGACCTCGCATTGAGTCCGATTCTCCGATAAGATACAACGGCGAGCGGACGAAGCTGTGGTGTTAAAGCCCAGTGTTCTTTGTGTGTCACCGACACAAAGATTTGATGCCCGAACTCGCGATTGTCACGCAATTTCAACTGACGATAGAGACCTTAAACCCTGCGTCCGGTTTCGAGTAAAAAACGTATGAGTCGGGAAATATAAAAATTAACAACAATTTGCATTTGTATGCATTGTATTGCATGCTTTTTATCGATTAATATAAATATAAAGTTATTTTAATATTACTTTTGTAGATTCAATAATTAGATGCAAATTAGATTCGTAATAATTTTCGATTATTATATATAAAAATTGTTTATAAATAGAATAAAATAATTTGGCGTATAATATCTAGTTTGGTTCAAATGATTTAGATTTATTCTCACGGAGAGACGTTTAGAATGAAAAGTCGGGGTTATCTGCGAAACGTCTGGCTAGGTGAGGCCGAGACTACTTCCGGATAATCCGATAGTTTTTCACTTGCGGGAAGATTTAACGCTTCGCGTGAAAGCCATCAAAAGCCAGATGTATATAAATACGGCTATATATATTATAAATACGACTAGGCAAGAGAGAAAAAGAGATGATCCATCGATGACATCAGCCGTTTTAAAAAACCACGAAAAAGGTTTGACGCGCGTTATGGGAAGCAGCTTACGGGGAAGGAAGTGTTCGGTTACGATGGCGATAAATTTCGAACGGAGGATTTCGCGGTTGAGAACTGCGGAAGCGTCGGCTATACAGTCGTCGGAGGCTGAGTCCGTGGCTTCTCCGGGGATTGATATCCCTCGTCTTCCCCTTTGATATCACCCTCGCGAGCTGGCGTAGTTTCCCCGCGCAACCCCCGCCACCACCCTTGTTCATTCCGGTCGACACCCCCTTTGTGCGGGAAAGACAGATCGAACTACCCTGTTTACACTGCGACGCGATGATTTGCCAAATTAATTAGTCTTCCCTTGTCGCTTTCTCTCTTTCTCCTTTCGCCAATCCTTTGCATTTTCCTATGGACCAGGGAGGCTGCGCGTCTTCGCCTGTGCGTTGAATGGCCTCGGCGTGTAAAAACCGCGAATAATCCTCGCCGCATGGAACCCGGCTTTCATTAACGGCGAGAAGGATGGGCTGCACGGTAATTTCTAACGAGGCTGCGAGCGGGTTCTCGCCGCGAGCCGCGTTGCAAAAACCTTTCTTCGGCGTCTCGGTCGTAGTGGTGGTAAGCGTGACACCGAAACGGGATCGTTACCGCAAAAATGAAGTGACCCAATAAAAGAAGCGGAAACGCGCGAGACGAAGAGAATTTGCATTATGGATAGTCGCGAAGTTTCTTTCTAACTCGTCCGTTTCTCGTCATGTTTAAAAATATCCGGTGCGTCATTAATTCTATGATGTACAATAAAGTACTTTTTTCATAGAATTTTTTTTCTTTAAATCTGAATTTTCCGAGGTGATAGTATGATATTTCGAATACGAGTTATCTGCCTATGTCGTCGCGCGATTATAATTCCATAGCCTCCAAGCATTCATATATAACGCTGCATTAACGGAGGATCGCTAGTCAATAAAAAATTGCCCGATGCAAGATGAAACTTTGCAAAAGACGTCGTTGCGAACCGCGAGATGTTTAACGAAGGGCCGCATCGCGGATGATGCGGACGATAAGCATTTTCGAGATCCCCTTTGTTGAGAGGCTGGCGCGAAACGTGATGGAGGATAGAAGGCGCTCGTAAAACTTCGAAGAGTTTCTTTTTCGCTCCGGGCGTCGAGAGTAGGGGCGGTGCCAGCGAAATGAAATTAAACGGGTCCCTTTTTCGTCGTTGGAGCATCTCGTTCGCGGTAAAAACGAGTGTGGACATCCGGCACTAACCCCATAGCGACAGTGATAATGCTGGTGGTGGCGATGGCGGTGGTAGTGTCGGCTGATATTGCTGGACGAATAGCAGCCAAAATTCCTCGTTAAAGCGTGACGTAGTTTCTTGACGTAGTTTCAGTACAATGCTTTATCCGTTGCATATCTTGTCTTAATATCATCGTCTTTAATATCATCTTTATTTTTATATTCGTTATTTTTATATTTTTATTATCGATATTTACTTTTTTATTTTACGATAAATGGCATTCTCGAGGTGATTGCTACTTCGCGGCGCACAACATAACCGTACGGACAGCCATTCTTTTTTTCTTGACATCTTCGCGTTCTCTCATTAACATATTTTACGGTCGCGAAATACAACCGCGTTGCCGGCGATATTTCACCAAGCGGCATACCGCATACCAACAATGTTTATCCGGGAGAACCGAACGAAACAAAGATTCCTCTCAGTATCTAGGATTTCGCTCGGGGGTCATTATTTATCGTCAGCCCGAGGAGGGACAACTGCGACGGCGATCAAGATACGGTAAATGCACGTAGACAAACCGAGAATGGAATATACGCGAGGAATCGAGGAGGGAAGAGGACGGCGCGAGTAATCAGACGGATAGATCGTCTTGTTTTCGCGTTCCCGAAACGAAACCTATCCTCCTCCTCCTCGTTTTCACGTCGCCTTCTTCTTCTTCCTCTTCTTGGTCTTTAAGCGAACGACAATCGATACCTGGCGAGGCCAGGCGGTAGTGAGGCAGGCGAGAAAGAGAGCCGCGCGCGCGGCAACGGGGGCGAGAAAGCGAGAGGGTGGAAAGACGGAGGGAGGGGTGGCAGGGTGGCGCCTCATATTTTGCTCATTAGCGTCAGCATCGTCGTCAGCGTCGGGACGCCCTCACTTCGCGCGCGCGGCACAACTAAGGGTGGAGAGGGACCATCCATCATCTTGTCCTCCGTTTCGCTCACGTTCCACTCCCCTACTCTTCCCTCCTCATACTCTTCGCTCCTCGGTCGTTTCCGATCTCTCGCAGCCGACTCTCGCGTTTGTCCTATCGACGATCCTTGAAAACGCTCGCGACGATGAACGGCGCCGCCCTTGTTGAAACGAATAGAAAAATATATCGCTTCGACCAGAGTAAATCGTTGTAAATTATTTTCACAATTCCGACGATAAAGATAGGAAATTATGTAATATTTTAATTATTAATAATAGTTATTGTGGAAATTTGAAGTAACTTGGAGAAATTATGAAAATTTGCTGAGTAAACCATTTACCAGAACGGATATTTCGCAAAAGTGGAGCAACGGCGTTCTTTTGCTTTCTAAAGGGAATCGTTACATCCGCGCGTTTTCGGTTCGCTATGAGACGGATCGTTGCTTATGTTTGCGAGGTGATTATGGAAATGTTCGCGCGCGTTTCGCGAATCGGCGCGAAACAACCGATTCGAAACGCGATTCCCTCGATCGATCGGCGATACCGCCTGCTGCGAAATCGCCGCGTATAATGCTCGTATATATCGATGGCTTGGCGGTGCTATGCGGTGGTTTCTTCTCACGAGTCACACGGCGCGAACGATGGGCGACGCGCGGTTGCGGTTACCAGCAGCTACCTACTTTCGCATGAAATCCGTTTTTAGCGACAGATCGTAAAGCGATTTATGTGTACGACCGGCTGTAACGCCGATAGTAAACGGTAAACGCACGCGGCAGCTCGGCTGAATCCCCGGCCCAAACCCGCCGCCGCGGTTAGTTGCCGCGTAAAGGACTTTATTACCCGTACCACCTCGCGTGCCACCTAGTTACGCTTCAATAGAAAAAT